AGAAGACAACTTGCTGATATATTTATCAAAATGGCGCAGCAATCCAACATTCAAGAATATTATAAACAAATTTGGATTAGTAGATCTCTACTATCTAGTTTGAAGAGCAATCAATAAAGGCTGGATAAGAAAAATTAAATGTCACGGATTTATTGCTTATAAAGAAACATGTCTCCCACATATTCATATGAAAAAAAAAGGAAAGAGCCCACAATTTGCATCCTTCACATCAATTAACAAATCACTATATAATCAAATGATTAAGAGCTAAAGGTGAATTTTATGTTTGTTATTATAATTACTTATTTCTTTTTTGTATAATTTTACATATAAATACTCATTGAAAGAATGAACAAGCCAAACTTTCCTAGCCATTTCTTTTTCTACAGTCCATATTATATTTTATTTCATTGTGACATGTCATTTTTGTTAACTTTATCAAGCACTGCAATTTGCATGTTATACATAAATTTCAATTTCCTAGCCGCTTCTTTTTCTACAGTCCATGTTATAAAAAAACTATTTTACTTCATTAGGACATCATTTTTTGTTAAATTTTATAAAGTTCTGCAATTTGCATGTTACACATAAATTTCAAATCAACTCAACCAATTTGATTTGGCTCAAATCAAATCAGCTTGGCCGAAATAATTTTTCTAGTTGAGCTAATTTGAGTATATGGAGTTTGATTCAACCTCAACTCACCCAAACTTGATAAGTCATCCTTACAGGCATACAAAAGCAGTTACAACAGACATGCTAAGGTTTGCAAAGCCTAAGAGTTAACTTACATGCAGAGGCAAATGACTTGTACACTTAAATTCTAAAGTCAATAAATAGAAAATCCCATCTCCATATGAGAGATTATAAATTTTGGGCAACATTTTTTCTCTTAAAAATATAAAATTAAATGGATTACCTTTGTCCTTGGATAAGAACAAGTTTAATTTTATTACAACTTCTATTATTATGGATAGGCTTCAAAACCATATAATTGTTCCAGATTTTTGTTGCCTCTTTGATCTCCACTCCCTTTACTCAACCTTGAATTTTTAAGGGTTAATGGAACAGAAAAACAATAGTTATATCACACAGTTCTTATGTATTACATATCTTACGCCTAAACTTTCATATTTACATATAAAACACTCAAATCTTTAATATTGTATAAAAATACTACTATTATGTACATTTTAAAAGTGAAATACCCCTTTCATGCACGGTTAATGACAGAAAAGTTTTACAAATAAAAACATGACAGTTTAGATGTTAGATAACGTGGATACATAAAAATTGAGTGGAATGTAAATAAATGTTCTGAAATATATTTGGCTGTAAAAAAATAATAATAATAGAAAACAAAAAAATGGCAGAAGTCAGCTTACAACAACAACAAGCCTTTATCCCACTATACATGAATCCTTTTTCTCCATTGCGTCCTATTGAGTGTCATATTTCCATTTAATTTTAATAAATTAAGATCATTTTTTATACAATAAACGCAAGTCTTTCTAGGTCGCCCCTGCCTTTCCTAACATAAGCCAAATCTAAAACATCTACTCTCCTAACCGGATCATCAAATGTTCGAAGTTTAATATGACCAAACCATCTAGGACGACTCTCTCTAATTTTGTCCGCCACTGAAGCTACATCAACCCTATCACGTATATATTCATGTCACATTTTGTCTCTAAGGGTAGAGCCACTCATCCACCTAAGCATTCTCATCTCAACAACACTTAACTTAGTTTTATGCTTCACTTCTAGACTCCAACATTCAGTGTCGTAGAGCATTGGTCTCACCACCATCTTATAAAATTTTCCTTTCAGTCTAAGGGGTACTTTTCTATCACACAATAGACTCAAGCATTCCTCCACTTCAACCAACCAACTTGAATTTTTACTAATAACACCCATCTATATCACCATCACTTTGAACAATAAACTCGAGATATTTAAAGCGTTCACACCTTTTAATAATTTGATCGCCCATATTTACAACTTTGTTATTAGAGCTACTACTACTAAAATTATATTCCATATATTCAATTTTAGTCAATTTTAGTTTCAATTTTAGTTTTACTCAAACGAAGGCCTTTAGATTCCAATGTAGACCTCCATAATTCAAGTTTTTCCAGAGCTTTTTCTCTGGTCTTATCCAAAGGAGGATATCCTCAACGAAAAGCATACACAAACGTACATTCTCTTGTAAATGTCCAGTAAGAGCATTCATAAGTAAGAGCATTCATAACTAAAAAGCATTCATAACTAAAACAAAAAGATATGGCTTAAAGCCGATCCCTAATGTAATCCAACAGAAATAGGAAAACTTTTGGCCTATCCTCCTTTCGTTCGAACACAAGTAACAGCTCTAGTATAAATAATCTTTAATGACTTGAATATAAGTCATAGCACATTTCTTCTCTACAACTTTTCAAAGGATATCTCTTGGAACCTTATCGTAAACTTTTTCTAAATCAATAAAAATCATATGTAGATCCTCCTTATCTCTCTGCACTTCTCCATCAAACCTCTCAATAAATGTATAGCTTTCATAATAGACCTGCGTAACATAAATCCAAATTGATTATGAGAAATCTTTGTAATTCATTTTATCCTATGTTCAATTATCCTCTCCCATAATTTTAAAGTACGACCCATCAACTTAATTTCTCTATAATGTTCACACTCTTGTGCATCCCCTTTATTCTTAAAAATGGGGACCAAAATACTCTTCTTTCACTCCTCGGGTATCTTTTTAGCTTTTAAAATAATATTAAAGAGTTTAGTAAGCCAAGAAACTTCATTTGAGTAAAACTAAAACTGAATACATGGAATGTAATTCTAGTAGTACCTTTAGTGACAAAAGTGTAACTTTGAGTGATCAAATTATTAAAAGGTGTGAACGATTTAGATACCTCGGGTATGTTGTTCAAAGCGATGGTGATATAGATGAGGATGTTAATAGTAGAATTCAAGTAGGTTGGTTGAAGTGAAGGAATGCTTCGAGCCTTTTGTGTGATAGAAAAGTACTGCTTAGATTGAAAGGAAAATTTTATAAAATGGTGGTGAAACCTGCAATGCTCTATGGCGTTGAATGTTGGCCTTTAAAAGAGAAGCATAATACTAAGTTAAGTGTTGCCAAGATGAGAATGATTAGGCGAATGAGTGGCTTTACACTCAGAGACAAAATGCGAAATGAATATATCCGTGATAGGGTTGGTGTAGCTCCTGTGACGGACAAAATTAGAGAAAGTCGTCTTAGATGGTTTGGTCACATTAAACGTCGGCCATTTTATGATCCGATTTAGAGAGAAGATGTTTTAAATTCGACTTATGTTAAGAAAGGCAGAGGAAAACTTGGGCTTATTGTATAAAAAATGATCTTAATTTATTAGAACTAAATGAAAATATGACACTAAATATGACATAATGGAGAAAAAGAATTCATGCAGCCGACCCCACGTACTACGATTTAGGCTTTATTGTTGGTTCTTGTTGTAGTGGTCATGTTGCACTCTGATAGCAAAAATAAAAGCATTGCGGTAGTATCGACAAGCATAGTGGTATTGTTTAGATGTGTTGGCTACAAAGGCAAGTGTGGTGATGCCAAAGAAAACTCTTGGCATCTCTTGCTCTCGTAAGTAGAAAAATAAATCAAAATTATTGAAATAAACTCCTACAAGTCATCTCATAATGATGTTTGATCGTTATCATATTTTTCAAAAATTTACAGGATTGTATGGAAAGAAATTAATAATGTGTTCCTTTCAATTAAAGTGGAATTTTCTTTTTCTACATTCATTCATGAATGCAAGGGAGTTAAACTTGCCATACAAAGCAAGTTTTGTGCCTAATCTACTAAGTTTCTGTAGTAATTTTATATCCAACTTCTCTCTCACTTATTTTATCCCAAGTGAAAAAGGTTAAGTGGTTCATTGTAGTCCCAGACTATCCAATGTGTCCGCTTTAGTAGCTTAACTCTTCAAATTTGATTCAAAATAATCCACTAACTCCTCAAATCTAATCCAACCTAATTCAACAAAAGGATTATTTTGGTCATATTCAAGAAGAATATGGAAGCATTAAATAGTTGAAACTAAGATGATCCCACACAAATAGTCAAAAAACCTATGTTGACCTCTTTCTCTTTCTCCCAACAAGGATACTACTACCACGGAAGAAAACCAACATGCAAAAGCAAATGCTTGACCTACCATATGTGTATATCGGAAAATGTGTTTCCTTAAGCAATAGGAAAGCTCAAATATTAAACGAGTCTTATGGGCTTAACAGAACAAGCCCACCAACTTGAATTTAATGATGTGGTGCTAACTACGTCAATCATACTCTTTAGTTGTACGTTTGGAAGTGACAAGCTATAGAACTCCTCGCCGCCCAGAAGAACCCCTTGACTACCTCCTAAGCATGTCAGCATTTCGGCGAGTTCCTCCAGCTGAGCTCACTCATGTTTTTTTGAGTCCTTCCAAGCTCATCGACAACTGTCTAGCTACACCACCGAGCTTGATGAGCAGCTCTTCGAGGAAGAAAGAAGAGAGCTCAAGTATGTCGGCATACATATCATCATTTAATAACAATATAACAATCCACACCAGTAGTGTTATCTACAATTAGTCTGCTCGGGCTCTGTACTATACAATCTCAGCCTAGTTTTATATTTCATTCTTTAGACCCCTTGCTCGGGTACATAGGCTACATAACAAATAAAAAAGAAAAAGGGAAGATGAGACACTCCTCGATCCTAGATCCTCAAAAAAATCTCTAACTATTTCTCTAAGGATATTCTTCAGCTTCTTCGCACTTCTTCCACAATGTCTCTCTCAGATTGTATGAGTTCACTAATGATATGAGATCTCATGTCCCAAAATGATTCAACAATATGCCATTGCACATTAATGCAAATATTAACCATCGTTGACTCATTAATTAAAAAAAGATTTTCACCACTCTTAGCAAAAAGGGATTGAGAAAATAAGCACCTGGAAAACTCAAAGCAAGGCCGGTACAACAGCCTGCGACCCCAGCATTAATGACTGTCATAATAAGAATATACAGATTAGGGACATAAAATATATTCCTTTTAAGTAAATAAAGATGATAAATAGCAACGACACATACCATCATCTTTTCCTCGCATTCTCTTTAGGAAGCAGATAACAAGACTATGAACGCCAGACAAAACTGCAAATGTCTGAACATTAAAGAATTAGCTTATATGATGAAAAGACAGAAAATATAGAACAACATAAAACATTTTTGCCTAATAGCATAGCTAAAAACCTTAGCAGAAGCTCCTGCTTCAGCAAAAGAACCCTTAAAACCTTTCTTCTTAACCAGGCCTGTACCTGAAATAGTTTGAACAACCAAATATCAAGGTATGACCCAAAAATAAGGTTTAAAGTTAAAAACACCAGTGAGTGGAAATTTCAATTGAAGTTGAGAGTACCATAAATTAGGTTAACATTGCAATTAAATATTTTCATTAATTAGAAAAAGAACGCTGCTCCACCATTAGACAAATTAATCACCAGCATTCATCATTAAAAAAGAGTTAAGAAAGTCTGCTTCATGGTTTAATAACAAAAAGGCATATGCAAACACAATGAGAGCTTGAGACCACCACTAGCAATTATAACTAGTATTACTTACATCTAGCATTCCAATTTTCAACAAGCAAGAGTAACTTCAGATATGAAATGGTGAGTTGAATGTCGTGAATAGACTCAAGAAGAGAAATGCATAAAGGGAAATTTGCGTATAGGTCCAACCATTGTTCACACAACTTGCTATTATAGATTTCGTCTCTTGCAAGCAACTCAGAAGGCCTCTAATTTTGCCTTTCACCAGGCATACAAACCATTCAATTGTTTCATTATGTACTTGTTGCTATATTGTAATTGGACGAAATTCCCCTGCTTTGCAATTCTTTTTTCCCTCTATTGGGCCACCCAACACCAAAGAAGCAACGACAAGCTCACTGTTCAACAATCTCCACTTTCTCCAGATGGGCGAAGAGATCGCACAAGTAAATAGTAAAGTAGTGGAAACTCAGTAGGGAAGCAATGGCATTACCATCTCCAATGCAGCAAATTATGGAAAAATTAAATGCAACGTGAAAGAAATCTTCTAGCTTACAAAGTAAAAGAAAAGGCATACTTGTGGGGCATCATCAAACTAAGGGTCTGTTTGGGGCTATTGTTCATTATTTATAATCTACTAAGCAGATTATTCTGATAATTTGATAAACTGCAGATTATCAGAATAAACTGACTTGTTAATTGAGGCAGCTTATTCAGAACAGCTTACTGAAAGTTGTTGTTGGATAAATGATCATTCTGCCCATGTTTGATTAAGTTGCTTATAACAGAACTGTATGAGAAAAATAATAAATAGAACAAAACTGTATGGTTAAGAACTAAATGGTAATTTTCCAAATATAATATTTAGAAAATTGCTCAAAAATCACAAAAAACAGAAACAGCTTAAATTGATTATCAATATAAATAGCACAGAAAGAGAGATAGATATAACTTCAACATCAGTTCTTCGGAAGTTGAATTCAAAAAGATTAATGGTTTCAATAAAGAATCCTATTTAGCAAGATAATTGTTAAATTTAAGAATCTTAACAACAAAGCAATATGAGCAAATGAAATTAATCATTAAAATCAACGGGAGAAGGTGCATGAAAGAATCCTAACAACAATGCTTCCTCGGGATATGAAAGTGCGATTAAGATGGCAGTCGGCAATTACCTTCCTCGCTAGTCATGCGACGCATGAAGAGACGAGCAATGCTTTACGGGAGAAGGTCCGTGCAGTAGTGGAGGGGGAGGATCGTGAGCTTGGTTCTAGAGTCGACGAACAGGGGAGGAGCAGTGGAGACGAACAGGGTCGATGAACGGGATCGTGAGCTTCGGTTTTGGGGTTGACGAACGGGGAAGGAGCAGTAGAGACGAACAGGGAGTTCGGAACAATGCGGAGTAGACGAACAGTTGCGAAGGGCACCGGAGAGGAGCTCGGAGTTTCCTTCTTCCTTCTAAGCTGAGAAGGGCGCCGAAGGTATTCAATCCCTAAATGCCAGTCGCGAACGCCGAACGCATCTCATCCCCCACGTGCGACTCCTATGGAGAAATAAAAAACCGCCTTTCGTGGCGTTCCAAAAAGGCTCACCCAACTCGGTTTCCTAACAGAGCGGTGACGTTTTCTGAAAACGTCGCCGCACCCAAATAAGCTGCCCCAAACGAACCCTAAATAGAGCAAAAGATCTACTCATGGAGTTTGAAAATCAAAGGCATTGTTGAAACTTCTCCTCTATGAGAGCAACACCTTTAAGGAGTTCATCTTGGACACGTAGGCTTCAATCGATTTAGCTTCTTATCGGGTTTAGGATAAGACTTCACTTGGTTTAATACTTTAGAGAAACCGCTGATACACCACTTACCATCCCTTGGTTTATTTTTCTTGAAATATTCAGGCCATTCTTGGACTCCACACATACAGTGTAAATGTCCACACGTGTGTGTATTAAGCCTGAAACCAATCAGTTGGGCACTATCCAAGGTGCTCACAAAGATGAAGTCATGAGCAACAGCAAGCACCCTACTTTGATTTGAGATTTGAATACTAATCTCCCAACGCTATATATGAGTTGCTAGTTGATGATGATAATTTGACGTGTAATAATGCAAAAAAAAGCATACAAGTTTATCATCTCTCTCTCTCTCTCTCTCTCTCTCTCTCTCTCTAACTAGGGGAGAGAAATTTTGAGTTTGTTTGGGCAACTACAATTTTCTGTAAAATTGGCCATCAAACTATTATTAGATAAGTTCTTATTTGAAATTATTATATAATTTATAATTTGATAGATGAAAAGTGTTATAGAATCATAGATTGACAAACCACAGAATGCAATTGCATTGCTAGAATGAAGGATGAAGAGTGGAAAGCTAATCTAGACAGTAAAACTTTCAGAAATGCAGTTTAGATGTTGTTAGCCAAAAATAAACATGGTTGTGATTTGAAAAACAAAGCTAACAAAAAGGTGTCCCAGTCAAATAGTATGATGCACAATATTCAGCCTGAGTAAAGAATAAATGCGCATCCAATATAATATTGGAACAATTTGGACGCAAAAACATGTTCATAAAAGGAATTACAGAATTCAAAATGTGTTTGTAATACTCACAAAGCAAGTGTTGAACACATGGTGGTCAAACAGCTGTCAGTTTTAATATTTTCGAAGCATGTTAAAAGGGATTTAACATTAAAAAAATCCAAACCACAATCCTCCCATTGTCATGCCTTGCACTTCTAAGAATAGTCATGTATTATGTCTTGTGTTCGTATACCATGTCCGGATGGTATATACACACAGCACACAATATTTAGGTGTTCAGATATGTAAATATATAAGACTTTTTTTAACATCTAAAAATTCTTTTTATATATATGCCACCCAAATTTTCATATTAAACTTTATATGTAATTTTTTTATGTATTATATCAACTTAAACATCTAAGCACAACCCCTATGCATTCATGTATTCATGTTCTCGTGTGCCTCTATATCTACCACTTAAATATTTTTTACATTTGTTCTGATATGAATTCAAATATGGGAAAACTAAAGTCAAGTTTTATTGATCTTCATATATTTGTCATTTTCCTAAGTAAAGATGATGAAATAGCTTTCATGGAACATGCCTTTGTGGTTAGCTTCTACTTGCATGAGTCAGAGATTGAAAACTCGCCATGCATATATTTTTCATGGAACAAAAAAAAAATCTGAGTTTTTTATTCGCTGCATCCTTCCCAACTTTTGCATATCTTCAACCAAATGAGCTCTTAAAGTGTACAGTCTTTTGCAATTTAGAGAATGTAGAAGTTTCAGTTTAGATTGCCAAAAGAGGGAGGATTTTCCTTGTAGTGGCAATATATTCCTAAAGAACCGTGAAAAAAAAATTTGTGGTGTTTTTTGCCATACTTTTTGCATTTATGTGAGATAATATTTCTGTGTTTTGTTTGTAATTATAATACCTTTAAGTAAAGGAAAAAACTTCAATATTTTTTAGCTCTTAATGTGCATAGTCTCGTAGGTTGTGTAAAATTTTATAAAAAAATTAATTAGACTTTGCAATTAGTTTTTTTAAAAGCTAATTAGTTTTTTGCAATTTAGGCAAATTTGGAAGTTCGTTTTTGTTTCTTTTTTACATGTAGCTGTTGAATGTTTCCTTATACTGATGTCAAAGGATGATTGAGACCTGAAATCATTTCTGTGTTTAAATACATTATTAATATGTTTCATGTTCCAAAGAAAACTCATTAGTGTAAGGGTTAGTTTAGAGTAGTACTTCATCCTTTTGATAAAAATAATTAGTTTACATAGTATATATGGTAGAGCGTAGTGGTAACTTCTTTCTACAAAATCTCAATGAATTTCATGAAATTTTCTCTCCAAATTATGTGATGGTGATTAAATTGAACATTGAAGGTGGTCTCATCTTCTTCATGGATCTTATGGGATCATTGCTTTTCTCAACCAAATGCCATGATGCAGCTTAGATGACATCAAAGTGTTATTAGACAAAATGTGAATGTATTTGCATCTTAATTGAACAAAGGTGAATCCGAGCCTACCATTCATCATTTTGTTTCAACTTTTCTATGACTTTAAGCAACTAATTGGGGTCTTAAAAAGTGGATGGATATTTGCAATTTAGCTGATATTGTGATATTAGCAATTTAATAAAAATTGTGATACTTGCAATTCACCATCATATTTATGTTTATTCTATACATTTCTATTTTTCCTTATTGCAGGTTGTACAAAATACAGATTTTGGTAAATTATAATATATATATATATATATATCATAAAAATCGCCATGTGGATTGTCCATTTTTAAATTCATTTTTTTCGATTATATTCAATAGAATCAATTTTAAAAAAATGTTAATTTTAAAATTTGGCCAAAATTGAATCTACCCGTGAAACTTGACCACATGTTTCCATTGACAATTCCAAATCAAACCCTAGTGAAAGATTGGAAGAAAATTTTATAGATCTACTGCTCTGAATCTCACGTCGCCTCCTTATACTAAACAAAAAAAAAAAATGCAGTGCTGAACAACCAAAACAAAGAAAAAAATATCTCCCACTGAATGTCTCCTCGACCAAACAAATGGAAGAAAATTAATTTCCCTTCTCTTCGCTCGTGGCCTCCATTTTCATCTACCTTCCATTTTTACTCTCTCAACTCCCTCAAACCCATCCATTCACACTATCTTTCGAATCCCTTAAACCAAACAGAATCTAAGCCTCAAGAACCTGAAAGAAACAAAAGTATCAAGAAGCGTACCGTAACCGAAGATGGAACCCATCAAAGCCCCAGCAGCGGAGTCACCTGCGAACCTCAGAACGCAAACGAGAGGGGCAGCCGGAGGAGCAGTAGGGTTAGGCTTTCCATTTCCCTCCTCGACGTCAGACTCCAACTCAGGGTTTGGGTTAGCCACCATCGCCATCACCCCCTCTTCACTCCGTCCCCTATCGCTTCGAGGTCCCGCCCCTTTCTCTCTCTTTCGCGGCCTGCACTACAGATAGGTAAGTCAGCTCAGTTTCTATGATGAGATCTGTTTAAAGATTGGGGATACAAAGTAGCTTGCTCACTCTCCGTTGGTTAAAAAATATTAATTTCGAATAAGAAAATTATGTTTATTTTCGACAGATTTATTTAGCCAGACCAATACTAATTGTTCATTTGAGTCGATATTTAAATATTATTATTTATATTAAAATATTATTTAAATATAATTTAATATATTTTATTCTATTTTTTTAACAAATAATTTTAATTGACTATAAATCTATATAATCTTGTCGACAGTTAAATTTTTTAAAAATATTACGCAATAGTTGTATAGATATAATTTAATTGTTTCGATCTAAAATAAGTCGAACACAAATGAACAAATACTTGTTAGTGTCCGACTTGTTTACTTATCGAGCACAAAAAATTATTCGTGTTCGGCTCATTAACTTAACGAACGAATCAAACACAAGTTTCTTAATGAGTCAAGCACGAATTGTTCACGAACAATGAGTCGTTTTGACAACCCATTAAAGATATCTTTAACTTTGCATAGATATTTTGGGAGTGGACTTTTCTAAAATAAATTTGGAAATTACATGAGTGGCACATGAGATTTTATTATTTATAATATTTAACATTTAGTGATATTTTTAAACTATTGAATCAAAGTATTTACATGTAATGAAAAATATGAGTTAGGATTTTAATGAATTTTATTGTATGAGCCCAAGTTTGACTCTTATGACAAACTGTGAGCTCGAGTTGTTCACAGTTGACTCGCTAATTTGAACTAAAAACTCATTCTTTATTGAAGGTCGCTTGAGAAGGTATTAGTGTTCAGAAGAGGAGAGGAGAAGATTAGTGATACACTAATCGAGCCGGCTCGCAAGCTAGCAAGCAGAGTCGAGACGAGCTCAAGCTCGTGGCTTGATAATATCGGCTCATGAGCTGAGCTCGAGTCAGCTCGCAAGCTCACTCGGCTCATTTGCACCCCCTAGATGGTACTCTAAGTTTGTTAGTTTATTTTAAAAGCTAGGAGATTCAAGCTCAATTTTCCTCCATCCCACACATACCATCCTCCAATAGTAAGCCTTGCCGGTGTACTTTTGTATAACAATATATAAACCACCCAGAATAGTTACAAATTGTTAGATATGGTTTATATACCAGATAAAGAATTAGAGCGGAATGGAACGAGCTACCGAATCGGAGCTCGCAAGCGAAGTGGAGCGGAAGCATTTGTCCAATCAGGAGAAGTTTCATTATGTGGGTTGGGGGTGTGAGGGCAACGCCCCTGCAGTATGGTACAGGGGTAATTTTTTAATTACATATTGTATATCAGGGTTATATATATATATATATATATATATAGTCGGCAATTATC